GAGGTGGTTGCTTTGCTAACAAGGTCGGCAAATGTGGCGGGCACATGAGGAACACGCATCGACAAGCTACTCAAGGACTTTGAGGGAAGAGGTGGCTTTTGCTGCGATTGGTTAGTGCTGGTGGGCCGCTCGGCATCATTTTCGGTTTCTTCGCCCTGATCGATTACAGGCGAGGGTCCGAGGTCAGGAAATGATCCAGAGTCCTGCTGGTTGCTCTTGTCTTTTTCCTTTCCCAAGGATCTTAATTTTGACTCTGATGTGGGCGAAGAAGTGCTTTCGCCGGCGGCAGCAGCAGCAGCAGCAGCAGCAGCTTGCGATTCCCAGAACCAACGATGTTGTCTGACATTGGATTTTGATACGGATCCTGGTTGGGAAGTCGGGGTTTTTGGAGTCAGCTTGACGGTCGACTTTGGCGAAAGGCCGAACTTGGCACGAGATTTGAGAGCGATCTCAAACACAGATGGGGATGCATTTGCGCTTTTTATGGGAGCTGCAGTCTCATGATCATCATCCGAAGCACCATCAGCAACATGGGCGGACGCATTTTGAGGCTCTGTGCCTTTCTTTGGGGTCGAAACAGCCTTCTGAGCCTCCTTTTGATCTTGGCCAGCGACATTTTCATCATTACTAGTGTTTGCAGCCTGGCCGCCTTCATCGATTTCATCCTGGTCCATCATGTTGGTATTATTATCTTCTTCCATTTCGACTTCCTCTGCGTCGTCGTTTCCATTGGCTTTATCGGCACTATTATCTTCCTTCTGATCGCTGATAACCTTGGGCTGCGTATCGTTATTATCTTTTTCTGGCTGGGCTTGAGTGTTGGTGGTGGCACGAAGGGAAGCGTCTATTCTTGCTTGGGCCTTTTCAGCCTTTGCCTTCTCTTTATTAAGTTCCTTTCTAAGTTCTCTAATTTCGTTTTCTTCGGCTTTCCATGGAACCTGGAAGGGGTCGCTGCCTGGTCCAGCTCTACCAAAATTGTGAAAGAATTTGGATGCTGCTTCGCTGAGGAATCCAAACAAACCACCGCTATTAGCATTTCCTGTGTGAGACAATGGAGTGGTCTTTGCCAGGCTAATAAATGCTGGCCCATCCGAGATTTGGTTTCCAGATTTTTTGGACTTTGGATTGGGCCTTGAATATGGTGTTTTTTGACTGCGAGAAATCATTTGTTTAGCTACACGGGCTGGGGTGCTTGGAACTGGCGCGGCACCAGCGGTATGGCGCCCGGTTGTCCTTTGCACGGCCATATCTCGCTCTCTGGAGTTAGTTGTTTCTATCTTTTGCTGCTAAAACAAAAGAAGAAATTGTATCGCAGCAGACCTATGAAAAAATATAAATAAAAACAAGGTGGGCCAGGGGGGTGAGCGAGCTTGTTTGGATTTTTATTTTGTGTCTGTGTTCTCGTGAGCTTTTAATTGATATTTTCATAATTTGATTAGCAAGGCCGCAGGTGAGTAGTCAAGCATTGATGAGATCGCAAAGAGTTGGCAGCTATGCTGTTATTGAGGTTGAGCTTAGGATTTGAACCTTATTTGATAAAGCTTGCAAAAAAGTATTATGTCCGATGCTAAAGAAGTTGGTGGAGACGCCTCTTGCAGCTGGTACATGCCTTTTTCTAAGAAGAAGTATTTGTATTAAACCATAGTAGATACAATTGGTTAGCGGCGTATGTGATGGCGATATAGGCATTTTTAACTTTGGGCCTTATGTGTTTCTGTGATATGGGAGGACAGCCTTGTTGTTCAACTTGGGCCTGGTCTGTAGCTCACGTAGAAGCTTCTTATTATAAATAAATAGGGTATCATAATCAGGGCCTGGTCTGTAGCTCAAAACAAAGCTAAAGAGCCCCGGCTGTAATCATTGCTAAAATTGGACTCTGGCAAATAAATAATACAAGGGCAATCAAAATCAACCAAGTAACAAACACAGCCAGGCTGCCAAGCACAAAGCCATTATTTTGTTTATACACGCAAACCCGACACAAAGCACTATGCGTTCTTGTTTATGTGATGGTTTCCATGCTTTGTTTTATTTCCACTTTTGTCTCTCTGTCTTTGTAATTTACCTTTTTATACGGCCTAAACCTCTCATTTTCTTTAAATTTCGCAAATCCTCTTTCCGCATAGTGATTCTTCCTCTTTGGATTGGTCAATAGCCTATAGTTATTAGATATATCCCTTACTTTGCAGCATTTAATTACCATCCTACCTGATAAATTACTTCAATTCTCAAAATGGGTTTAGCATTGGTCTCTCCTGGTTGCGCTGTCTGCTGTCAAGTGTTTTCAGTCTTTGGTATTGTCATTCTGGTAAGCAGCATATGCAACTCCACTATGAGTGATTGTTTTTGAAGGGCTAAGCTACTATTATCGATGAAAATATATGGTGATTAGTATGCAAGTTGAAACTGGCCTACTAGTAAAACTTAGTCCTTCAGAAATAACTACCCGTATGCAGCGCACCCCACATTCCTGTCTTTAACAGCACCTTATTAACCAAACCTCAATGTTCATGCAAATGTAGCTGGTCATGGGCGCCATGTTTAATGCCGAGGTCGAAGAATTTACCGGCTCGATTCATGACCCAGAACATCCCAAAGCCGTCGGCCGGGCCTGCTATTTGGCTGCTGGAATCTACGCCTTGTTCCTTGTGTTCTGCGGATGTCAGAGCTGTGTTCACAACGTCTCCAAAAGACGACAGACCCGCTTCTAAACAAACAAACAATATCATCCACCTCACCTTATCATGTTCTATACAAAGCACAGCATTATCGACAGCTTGCAAGGTTACGTGTCCGATGCTGTGTGGTGCGTGTGTGTGCCTGCCTGCCCGTCTTGTTTCGTTGGGATCAGTCTCCACTTGTTTTTTCACTGCATATTAACTCTACTATTTTCCTTCGAATCGCTCGCTCTTTCTCTTTCAAGGTGCAGCAGATGGTGATGCCGACGACACGGATGGACATGTCCATAGCCAGCCATAGCCACAATCACTGCTGCAGATACAAATGTTTAGTACCATTTATACAACTTAAACCATATCTCCTTACTCAGCTATAGCAGCCATGCTTTCTTTTACAATAATAGTGCAATTATTATTACTTCAATTATTATAGCACGCTTCTCTAATAGACTCAACACAGATAGTTATTTTTGAAGGGCTAAATTGATAGTATCGATTAGTGATAATATAGGCTGGTCAATAATACACATAGCAAAATTTACCCTTCAAAGATTATCGCCCATATGGATCATTATTTTTGAAGGGTGAAAGTTCATTAGTAAAACTGGACATCCATTTAGATGTGATTGATTGCGCCTATAATCATTCATCACCAAAAATTATGATCCATATTATTGCTATGCCACAATGAAATGCTGAGATTAAGCATTTTATTACTCCTATGGAGGTAGCTGTATGCCACATACACTAAAGTTGTGTTTACCAAATTAAATAAAAAATCTAGTTGGAATGCCACAATGAAATGCTAGGCTGGCCAGATATCAATTTATGCCATAATTAGCTATTTATCAAATTCGCATTATTAGCACCATGCACAATCCTCAGACGCCTATAAAAGCCGCTTCGATTTATACTGGCAAGATTTGGATACTACTCGAGGTTAAAGCTATGTCTGCTGGCGAGAACAACATAACGAGGGTCCTTTTTGTGTGCCTGGGAAATATCTGCCGATCCCCAATGGCCGAGGCTGTATTTTGTGCCGAAATTAAAAAGCTCCAGCTCTCTGGAAAGTTTGAGGTTGATAGTGCTGGAACCGCTGCATATCATGTAGGTGTCTACACATATGGGTAATAATTTTTGAAGGGTGAATGGCCATAGAGGAAAACACAGCCAAATGAGTGACTCTATAGCCCTTCAAAAATAATAGCTCATATGTATAGGTACTATCACAGCCAAATGAGTGACTCTATAGCCCTTCAAAAATAATAGCTCATATGTATAGGTACTATCACAGCCAAATGAGTGACTCTATAGCCCTTCA